GGGGGGGGGGGGGGGGGGGGGGGGGGGGGGGGGGGGGGGGGCACTAGCCTCTGTCCTCACATAGACAAAAGGGTAAATACTGAAGTGAAACTGGTACGGAGGACTATATCGGGAAAAGCAACCTGTAATTAATACGAATTGGTTTTCCTCACTTCTGAGGGTATTTATAAGAACAGTATAAATACATCCACATTTGCCTGTGTACTCATGCGAGGGAAAAGGCAACAGACGATTGTCAGACTTGTCACCTGGGGCACGGAGGCTGGGGACAGGGAAACCAGGAGAGGACGAGCCACTTCTCAGGACACTAAAGGATCCTCCCAACACGGCCACTCCTGTAAACTGATTCCAAACTTTACAAACATGGCTGACTGGATGACTCAATGGGTAAAGGTGCCTGCGACCAAAGCAGATGACCTGAGTTTGATCCCCAGGACCCACGTGGTTGAAGGCTGCTGGAAGCCATCCTCTGACCTCTTCAACTACTCATGGCACATGTGTGGGCACACACATACACACACACATAGGAAAATGAGTATTAAAACATTTTAACCTCAAAGACAAAGAAAAGTATGAAACCATGAAAGACAAAAAAAACAAAAAGGAACTTACTGGACTCCTAGTTACAGAATATTTGTAGCAATCACGTTCATAACAAACCTTAATTACTCGCTTGTTTGTAGTGCTGCGATGGAACCCGGGACTCTGGCACACACTAGGTCCGCGCTCTACCACTGAGCAGCCCACCCAGCCTGGAAACAGTGCTCACGTATTTTCATTTAACATATTGAGCACTGGGGGCTGTCTCTTCCTCTTCTGGCACACAGGTGTCCATGCAGTTAGATCACTCATGTATAAAATAAATAAAATCTTTAAAAAAAAAATTGAGCATCTTAAAACTGAAGAGATGGCTCAGTGCTCCAGAGGACCTGAGGTCAGTGTGCAGCGCCTGTAGCAGGAAGATCATAGCCAGCTTTGGTTCCAGGGAAGCCAGCGGCCTCCTCTGACTTCAGAGGGCATTAGCACACTCACATGCATGGGAATTTTTTTTAATTGAATATCCATTTTATGTGATTTTTTTTTTTGAGACAGGGTCTTGCTATATTAAGAATATTTTAATTGATGATAGAAGAGCTGGGGTAAGGCTGACTTAGGGTATGATGGGCCCTGAGTTCTAGCCACAGCATTGCAAACATAAACAAACAAGAAGGAAATGGATATTAAGAAAAACAAGGTTGGGGGAGATTTACCTGGGGAGTGGGGAGGGATGACAACACAAAAGAAGAGGGGGGAGGATACATGCCCCTAAGGATATTTGAGAAAGCCACAGGGAATCATGCTCTCTACGTTTACTTACAATTGTGTGTGTGTGTGTGTGTGTGTGTGTACCTATGTATAGAGTTTAAATGAAGTTACAGC